TCTAAGACTCAAGCAACACAACTGCAAACTCTTCACGAAAAGAATCTGACGAACTTTCCATAGAACATTTTGGGCGCTGGAAAGTGGTTACAAACAGGAGCAACCAGAGGACCCATCATTAGATTGCCTTTACATGAAAGGCCCGAGAAGGATACAAAAACAAGCTCACACAACCACACCCCGAGCAGAAACGAGCACAGATAAAAGAGGATCAGAGCACAGATCCTAACCATCACTACCACACCAGAAACCAGAGAAGACAAGCAGGAGAAGGGACAAGGAGAAGCCTTGAGATCCGAAGGGGAAAACGCCAAAGAGGGCCAACAAACCTTACACGCGGACATTCGTAGACCCAGCCAAAACCATCTACAGCCTAAGAACTGGTTACGCCACGCAAGAGAAGGAATAGAGACCGAGCCTACCACATCGTCTTGAACTCAAACCTTAAATCCAAACAAGGAAAAAGAAGAGAGCTAGTAGATGCCTTTGCAGGAGACTACCATCCAAATGAAGAACCCACAAAACGAAACCTTCACAAACTCATAACCCCAATAACCGGGCAGAAAGTAACAAGAGGCAAAACTAGGAGTCAATATTGCCATCCCTAAACTTGAAACTAAGGCTTCATACCCTCAACCAACCATACTACTAACCAATCCTTGTCGAGAAACACCAACCAAAGAAGAGAGAGATGAGAGAAATAAAAAACCAGACCAAGAAACGAAACGAGTTCGTCTCCTTGAAACCACCAGCCACAGGACCACCACCAGAACTGAGCCACTACAATGCCAACCTGCAGACCAAACGGATCAGACACTAACCACCACCAAGCCTCACCGACGATGGCTTCCCCTCCTTCAAACGATCATCTCTTCAAAGAGGAATATGACGACAAGGCCACAACAACACCAAAATCAACAAAGCTAAGCCAAGAAATCCAAAGAAAACGCGGGAGAAGAAGCAAAAAACGCGAGAAAGGAGGCCACGAAACCTCCGCCGCCAACCATCCACCGATTCTCCATCTCCAAAAGCAACAGCCGTAATAGTGAAGAACCACACGGGCTCCGACGAAAACACCAACCATCCACTGAGAACCAAGCAAACCCATCACTAGAACGGAACCAACCCAATCGAAGCACAACCATCTAGACCTTGTCTTTAATCCGCCATAGGAGAAGCCAAAGAAGACCCAAAACAAAGGAAAAGCAATTAAAAGATAAACAGACAGACACACCCTCTCACGACTCCGGCCAAGGGCACCGGAAAACCAGAGAGGTAACGACAGAGATTTGAGAAGAGAAGTTGTTTGGCGGCTAGACCTAAAAAATCGCCTCCCAAAGGCTAATGTCCATGCACCATTCAATTGATTTAGAAAGTTTCTTTTATAAACACTAATTTTTACCAAAACTTAACTTTTATCTGAACTAAAGCTTACAGATCACTACAAATTTTTTAAAAAATTTACATTCTGTTTCTTTTTCAATTATATTTTTTTAGGATTCAAAATGGCCATTATTAACTTAGCTGACCAATTTCTCAATATTTTCTTAGCAATATAATCAAAGAGTGGAAGCTCTCGAAAACCAAAAAATTAAGAGTGACTATTTTGTTTGTATTATTATCTGATAGCAACGATCAAAATAATTATTTTACTTACAATGTTTTGGTTAAATCACTAATTATTTTTATATGATGATCGTGAATAGAAATTTTGTAGGAAATCGAGAGGTTATAGACTTGTGTAATACACGAGACATTTGTAAATTGCATGTTATCATCATATTCTATACCATATATGTTCTTAAAAATACCTCTTGAGCATCTTTTGTTGTGCTTTTGCACTATTTTCTCTAGTTTTGTTACAATTTTATTGGTCACTTGTAGAATGATCACCCTAAAAGGAAACTACAACCTCAAATCATATACTTTAATTTGCCCCTATATCACAATGTGGCATTAAAAGACTAGAAGATTTATGAAGACTTAAATTATGTTAAATGTGTTTTCTAGTCTTTTTTGTAAATCAAATTAAACTAATCTTAATTCTTAAGACTTACCACATTCTGATTCTTGGTTTTTGACATCGGTGACCACACTTCTTTCTTTCCAATCAAACGAATTAGGGACTTGGTCCATATCTTCATGCATAAACATATTAGAGCCGGGTAACGTCTGGTCAATCCTCACTGTAGCACACTTATACATGGGGAGGAACCCATTGTGCTTCATGTTCACAAACTGATTTAGCCCTAGCGTGTAGGGTCTTCCCTTCTTGTTGCTATTGAGGATATACCTCGCGTTATTTCGGAAGATTTCAAATCGGTTTTCTTTTAGATCGAGGTTGTTCACATGAACAAAATGGTGGCTCGTACACCTATTGTATAGGGTTAGTAAGCTCTCCTCACTCTCTACCTCTTTCTCGTGAAAGTCGAATCCACAAACATTTTGGAGAATGATGAGCGGAAAAGGAAATATCAAGTCAAAAATCTTCATTTTTTTCCTTTGATTGCTTTTAATGGAAGTTGAAAGCGTAAGAAAGTGATTCGCTAATCCACATTAGAAAAACTGATGTGGACACACTGAGAAGCCTCAACAAACTTCTTTTAGTAGTAAGAGATTATAATTTTCGATTCCTTATGATGTCAACTAAAAATTAAAAAAGAATTGTTTTGCTGATAGAATAATTTAATACTCCCTCCATTTCACAAAGAATATTATTTTAAGGTTTTATTTTTGTTTCACAAAGAGTGTCGTTTTGTATTTTCAATGCAAAATTTTGAATAAAAATCCAATTTTAACCTTATTTCATTAATGTATTAATTAGAGAGATAATTTTGTTTAGTGTATTAATAAAGGGTATAATAGAAATTTTAATAGTTTTCTTAATATGTGTGTAAAAGTGTAGAATGACACTCTTTGTAAAACAGAGGGAGTACTACTAAAGTAAACTAAGATGGAAAAAAAATTATTGGTTGTATTTTGATACGAGATTTTCAAATCCTGGAGATCAATCTAATTAACTAAATGAATATCGTTAAAGAAAAACCTAATTAAATGCTAATAGTTTCATAATATATATATATATTCAAAAGAGTCAAAACAGATATATTAATAATTTCATTCACAATTATTATCGATGCCAGTTAGATCTCTTTCTAGAATTCAAATAAATACCTCAACAAATAGCTCGGTTTTACTTACTTGCTTTAAATGTTTTCAAATTTGAGCTTTTTGTATATGGCTAGGCTTCAATTTGAAAGGTAGACGGCTCCAAAAAATAACATAAACGTTTAAGCGACTTCCAAGGTGCACATCCAGAAGTTTCATGACTTGCTCCAGCTATGGTTTCAAGGCACTTATTTTTAAGTTTGTAAGTTCTTTTTCTTTTTCTCTTTGTACCGGATATGTTCATCCCGGGTTTTTTTTTGTCGCTGAACCACTTTTTTTCTCCCATGTAATCATCGTCAAAGTTATAAAATGAGAAAATTTAGCAAAAAAAGGTGCAAATACCTTAGAAACCAGAGCCCAAATTTGGGGAACACAAGAGCTTTTACTCGATTGGTCATAAAGCATGAACATACATCTTTGGAAACTAACACACATGGCCAAAATTTTATCTTTTTAACTATAAGAAGCACGGAAGCTTCGTCGGACGTCCGCTTCCCGCTTCGGAATCTTAGTCGGAATCGGAAGCTCTCGGAAGCTTTCGGAATCTCGCTTCCATAACGCTTCTAAAAAATTCATTTTGGAAGCTCCTTGGAAGCTTACGATTCTATTTTGGAAGGTTGCGATTCCATTTAAAAAATTTGATGTCACAAAATAAATAAGAAATAAGAAATTATTTTTGATAGTTTTTTATACAACAAAAGAAAAACCAAAACTAATTTTGCATACTAATTTTGTATTTTATTTTTTAAAATATCATAGTTAGAAAAATGATACCAGCATGGATCATTTATTAGGGAGATGTTGAAATGATTAATTGAATTAAATTAATTTCGAGAAATTTGAGTTTGATGATGTTTTTATTGGTAAAAAAAAATTTAAAACAATTTTATTTGATGGAATTAGTAAAATGAGAATGAAGAATGATCTTAAATTTTTGACTTTGAACTATTTGACTTTTCTCTATTGTAAACGTACACAATTTGATTTTTAAATATAGAGAGATATTTAGAATTTATGTATTAGATTTGTATGTTAATTATAATTTTTTATATGATATAATGTTTAATGTTTATTATATATATATGTATATATATATATATATATATATATTAATTTTTATATACGCTTCCAACACATACCCACTTTCTATAATTTCTATAAAAATCGCTTCCACGTTTCCAAACGCTTCGCTTCCGCGTACCCGCTTCTGATTCCATGCAACCTAGAATTTCCTTAGACCTTAGAAAAATACCTAAATTTTTATTTCACCTCTCTCACCTAATTTTGTAAAACTGAAAAAAAAATATATTTATTTCATCAAAATATAAACATAGTTTTGCCATAAACGAAAGGTTGGTTCTTCTCAGTTGATTAAGACCGTTAGATATCCTTTTTATTTTAATTGGATTAATTATAATATTGGATTCCTGATGATGTCAACTAAAAATTAAAGAAGAATTGTTTGCTGATTGAATAATTTAATACTACTAAAGTAAACCAAGGTGGAAAAATATTTTATTGGTTGTGTTTTGATACGAGAGATTTTCAACTACTACAGATTAATTTGATTAAATGACATCGTTAAAGAAAAACTTAATTATATGCTAATACAGTCACATTATATATATCTTAATAATTTCATTCAAAAATCTTGTTAACTCTCTCCTAAAAACACGAAAGTACTGCCCTAAATCTTGCTAAATGCTAACCTTATTTAACTTTTACTCCGTTAAGATAGAAAACTTTACGTTATATAAATCATTTTTTGTTAACTTATAAATATATGCTATATATGTAAGAATTTTCATACGACAAACACATTTCAACTTATCAATTCTTTTTTCTTGCGTCTCTTGCGTGACTCAAGAATCAAACAACACAACAAGTGTCAAACTCAAAAACCAAAGCCACCAAGAACACAAAATCCATCCTTCTTTCATCTTCTTGTTTCAATTCTATTCGATTTCTCCAAAAAAATGGAAGAAATTTTATTCGATGAGATTCTCTGCGAGATATTCACAAGATTGCCATCGTCTTCTTCTTCTTCCTCAATATCATCTTCTTTACCTTCTTTCGAATCGGTTCCTCTTGTCTCAAAGCGATGGCTTCGTCTCTACAGAGCATCAAAGACTTCCATGTCTTTAAAACTCAGTCCTCACGACACCTCTGTAATTACCCATTTACCCTCTGTCCTCAATAACCATCCTTCTCTCTCTTCCCTCTCTATCTCTCGTGGCTTCACCATTAACACCAAAATCATTACCACCCCAATTCGTTCGGATGTTGAGTCTCTGAAAGCTGAAACCATTTTCAACGAAGAGCTAATCTCAATCATATCTTCTTGCTGCTTTAATCTCAGAAGTCTCAGTTTCTTGATCAATCCAGTTTCTTCATCTTCTTTAGTTCCTCTCTCTACTTCTTTATCTCTCACTTCTCTCTCTATCGAAGTGTGGAAACCACAAAACTCAGGTTTCACTTGGATTGCTCTGTTTTCATCTCTTAAAGAATTATCAATCCATGTTTGCTCAACGAGTTCTCCAGCTTTCGATTTCTATCCAAAGTCTAAACCTAACCCGGAAGTTTTAGAATTAGGTTTGGAATCGATTTCTTTATTTGGAATCGAACCTGATGATAATGATGTTACTTGGTTATGGAAATGTTGCAGAAAGGTAAAGAAACTGAGTCTGAGATCTTGTGGAAGCATTGGAGAAATCGAGTTTTTCGGTTTGTGTTTGGAGAATCTTGAAGAGATTGAGTTGAGAACTTGTAGGAGTATTGTTGATGTGGTTCTGCTGAAAGTTTCAGAGATTTGTGAATCTTTGAAGTCTCTGTTGATTCATGATGGTGGAAGCAAAGATGGGTTGGTTTGTTTTATGAACAATGCTAGATGTTATGATACTTTGGAAAGACTCGATTTGCGTCTACCGATGGATTTGACCGATGATCATCTAGTCTCTCTCGCTGCGAATTTCAAGTGTTTATCAAGTATTAGCCTTACAAGCTGTATCTTTGTGACTGGTTTTAGTCTAAAGGCATTAGCTTTAAGCTTTAGTTCGAGTCTTGAAGAGCTTTCTTTGCTTAGCTGCAACGCGATTGAACGAGAGCGTGGTTTGTTGGCGACAATAGGACAGCATTTGGGGAGATTAAGGAAGCTAGATTTGGCTCGGAACGAGTGGTTATTCGATAAAGAAGTCGTTTCGATGTTAGCTTCTTGCAATGGTTTGGTTGAGGTTGTTTTGAGAGAGTGTAAGCATTTGACAGGTGCAGTGTTGGTTGCTTTGAACAAAAACTGTGTGAAGTTGAAGACTTTAGACATTTTAAGTTGTCGATTGATTGAGCCTGATGATGTGGAGGGTTTTGTGATGAAGACACAATGTTTGAAGAAGCTTGTGGTTGAAGAGAACCAGATTACAGAAGCTATAGTGAAATTGGCTTCGAGTAAGTTAATTGAAACTGTTGTGTTTCCTTCTCTTGTTTGGTAATTATAGTTGGATTGGTTTTTGAATAATGTGTTATTCTAATAGATTAGGGGTTTGATTGTACATTTTCGGTGTTGACTTATTATGTTGATTTCTTCTTATGAACAATTGTAAACTATTATGGAATAATAAGCAAAGGAAAAGTATTTATCGTTTGAGTTTATAATATTTGTAAAATCGAGTTCTTCTTCACCCAAACGCTTGAAACAACAATGGTATATTGTTGGATCCATCTTTAAGTGATTCTCTTAAAAAAGTTGAAACTCTCCGCCCTCTTTGATCCATCTATTGTTGGATCTTTGATCTCTAAACAGTAAAACACAATTGTTACTCCAATTTGGGCTTTATGATTATATTGGGCTTTCGATCGTAAAGAAAGATAAGTCCAAACCAATGTATGTAGGAGGAATTTGAATTTGTATGGGCTTCTTTTTTTTTTTTTTTTTGTGCACGAATTTGTATGGGCTTCATTTGATACACTTTCTTAGGAAAAAGGATATAAAATGTCTACTGTTTTTATGAGTAAAGTCATAAGAATTTTGAAAATTTAATTATATTCCTTCGTACTTTATATAGTTTATATTTTGAAGAAAGAATAAATTGTCTATTCGCTATAGATAATAAAGTGTGTAATTTTTCATAAAAAAATAAATATAAACAAAGTTTTAATCTTCATCATATTCATTATTTGAGATTGTTTTAATTGTATATATTTTTCTAATTATTAAAAAGTTTTAGGTTTATATCTGTACATTTTTTTTTTTTTTTTTTTTTTTTTTGAATGTAATGTTAAATTATATTCAAAAGAAAAATATAACGTTTTTACAACTTGTGCATCGGATTGCTGAAAAAATATAAGCTAAAAGAAAGCTAAAACGAAAGTTAAACGTTTCCAAGTACAAACTTCGATTTAACTCCGAGCTTTGATCCAAGATTGGTAGGCTGCCTCATATCGCATATCACCCTTTATGCGAATTGACGATATTTGGTTCCTTACTTGTTTATCGAGCCATAGTATGAGTCTCTCCACTGGCTGCGGAACTTCGCCATGTCTCTGTTGATTCCTTTCTCTCCAAATCGTGTAAACTGCCGCTTGAAAAACATATTTGATGAGGAAACCCTCCACTCGATCTAGGTGCTGATCCGAGATGTATTCTAGGAGAAGAGACCAATCTGTGTTGAATCTAGCTTTAAGTAGCCCTTTTGCAAGAGCTGCCCAAACACGAGATCCATACGGACAAGAGAAAAAGAGGTGTTCTCTAGTTTCCAAATGATTCTGACAAAGAGCACAAGTACCTGAAGCCCCTCTATTCCAGGTAACCATACGTGCGCCTGTCGATAATCTATTGTGGGCTGCCAACCACACGCAGAAAGAGTATTTAGGAGTAGCATGAGCAAACCAAACTCCTCGGTGCCAAGAGATTGTGTTCACAGTAGTTCGAATATGATTCCAAGTATCTTTAATTGAAAACATTGGTCGAAACAAATCATTTTTTCCCCGCCAAAGAGCTTTGTCAGCCATGTCATTTTGCTTTTGGCGCTGCAATTGCAGTACCTCTTCAATGGAGTTAAAGTGGTCTGCTCTGTGTCTCCTCCGTCGCCGGTTTGTCCAGGCAGCCGCCAATGAACTCGACTTGCTAATCCCCATATCAATACAACCCTGAGCACCAACTGTGTCAGCCAATACACCCAAAGAAGACCAGTGATCATACCAAAACGATTTAGTCTCTCCATTACCGACTTCTACCTTGCAAAACTGTTTCGCCATGTCTCTGTATTTAATCAATTTCTTCCATAACCAAGAACCCGTTGTGCCACTATTGTTGATAGACCAGATAGAAGCTTGCTTGAGAAGATATGTTTGGACCCATTTAACCCATAGAGAGTTCCCGTGAGAGACAATGCGCCAAATAAGCTTTAGACAACAAACATTATTCGCCTCTTTAAGTGACCGCAGCCCTAACCCGCCTTCTTGTTTAGGTTTATAAACGTTTTCCCAAGAGATCTTTGCCTTATGTGAATTTAGATCGGTTCCCGACCAGAGGAAAGCGGAACAGAGTTGATCAACTTCTCGAATGCATTCACTTGGGAGTCGATATGCAGCTAACCAAAAATTGCATATACTCCAGAGAATTGAGGAAATGAGATTAAGACGACCTGCAAAAGAGAGAAAACGTGTAGTCCACGACTCAATCCTTTTCCTAATCTGCTCAATCAGGGGTCGATAATTTGTTGTTGAAAGGCGTTTTGTGACCAGCGGTAAACCAAGGTAGCGGACTGGAAGATGACCAATTTCGAAAGGAAAAGAAGCAGCAAACTGACCCATTTCATCCGATTTACCAGCCAAATAAAGCGTTGATTTCTCCATGCTTATTTTTAACCCCGAGCATTTTGCAAACTCATCAAATACCCGGGTGATACCTTCAACCGATCTTACTCTCCCATCTGACAAAACCATTAAATCATCAGCAAAACTCAAATGAGTTAACCCGAGCATTTTACAACGTGGATGGTAGCCAAACTTTTTCTCTCCCGCGGCTTTATCAAGAAGTTTCGAAAGCACATCCATACTTATTACAAATAAATACGGAGATAGTGAGCAACCTTGTCTTAAACCTCTTGAGCTTCGAAAATATCCTGCTAACTCTCCATTAACTTGAACCGAGAAAGAAGCCGTAGTAACACAAAGCATAATCCAGTGAATAAACATAGGCGGGAAATTTAAAGCCGAGAGAACTTTACTCAAGAAGGACCATTGTACAGAGTCGAAAGCTTTTGATATGTCGATCTTAATGGCGCATCGGGCAGAACCGGTATCTTTGTGGTAGTCTTTGACAAGCTCAGTGGCTAGGAGCACATTTTCGATCAAAAGACGATCTTTGACAAACGCCGATTGATTTGCAGCTATGAACCTAGGGAGAATAGCCTTGAGTCGATTTGCAATGATCTTCGAGATCACTTTATAGATCACATTACAGCAAGATATAGGTCGAAAATCCTTCATCGCCTTTACACCTTTCTTTTTAGGAAGGAGAGCGAGAATTGTAGAATTTATTCCTTTTGGCAGAAAACCCTTTGCAAAAAAAGATTGGACTGCCAAAATAAATTCTTTTCCTATCAAAGTCCAAGAAGACTTGTAGAATTCCGACGTGTACCCGTCGGGACCAGGAGATTTATCATTAGGCATAACGAACAAGACCTTTTTGATTTCCTCCCCCGAGACTACACGAGTTAGATGTTGCTGGTCTAACTCGGAACAGCAAAACGGCAACAGTAGCTAAAGCTTCTCCACCGTAGTACCTTCAAAATCACTTGGAATATGTTGCAAGAATTCTCGGAAATGTCTCTCAGCCTCTGCTTTGATGTCTTCCGCCTGCGTTAATACTCTCCCTTCTTGACCCACCACTTCCTTTATATTATTTGTTGCCTCTCGAATTGCAACCGCTCTATGGAACATTTTGTTGTTCTTGTCTCCAACATCCAACCAATGTAGTTTCGACTTTTGTTTCAAATACTTCTCCTCTAGTCCAGCAACTAGATCCCACCTATGATAAGCTTCATTTTCTTCGGCCATCGCACTGGTACTTGGATTCAATGCATTAGCTTGTTGCTTTTGACAGAGAATATCATATGCCTCCTTTGATTTCTTAACCAAGTTTCCTACACGATCTTTTGCAAGCATCCGCAGTTTCGGTTTTAAACCTTTCAATTTTTTAGCAAACCGGAATAGTGTAGATGTAGACAAGAATAGCACCTCCGTATCCTTCCAGTGATCTTCAACCAGAGGTAGGAACTCCATCATCTCCGTTAAAACGTTTACAAACTTAAATGGTTTTCAGCGAGGAATGGGACTACTTCCTCCACTGATTTGCATTATCCGACATCGTAAGTGATCCGAACAACCTCCTGCCTCAAATACACTATACGCTTGTGGGAATGCTTTTAGCCAACCATCATTTACCAATGCTCTGTCCAATTTCTTCAAAATTAAGTCGTTATCCCTTTTATTACACCAAGTGTAGATAGGACCGTGAGAAGCCATATCAGATATAGAACAATAATTCACCAAACTCTGAAAATCCCTCATCCCCAAAGTAACCTGCGGATTATCGTCAACTCTCGAATGCTCAGCCATATCTAGAGTGACATTGAAATCTCCAATAATAAGCCACGACTTATTCTTAAAAATCGGTGAGTCATAGTGATCTTGTAACTCCTGCCAGAGCACTTTCCTTTCATCCACCAAATTTGAGGCATACACAAAAGAGCAAAAAAACTCCTCAACTTGATCTTCCAATTTGACAGAACAAGTGATTATTTGATCACTCTTATAGAATGGGCTCAATCTCACATTATGCTGCCACAAAACCCAAATGCGACCCCTTGCATTGTGCTCATAATTTGTTAGAATAGACCAATTTTGAAACAGCTTGTTCCCCAACCTCGGAGCCTTCCCTTCCCGAACTCTCGTCTCAAGCAAACATCCAAACTGAAAATTATTTTCCTCCACCCACTTTTTAATGACGGAATGTTTAGAAGATTTATTTAAACCGCGCACATTCCAAAAGAACCCAGACATTAATTCAATTTTGGGGGATTCTTCTTACTCAAATTTCTAGAGGGGTCTCTAGTTGATGGAGCTTGAAGATGAGATAGAGCTTTGTGTGCCGTTTTTGAATGTCTTGGTAGAGATGGTCGCAGCGTCGTCTCCTTCTGGTTTCGACCCTTAGCGACTGCCTCTTGAGTAGTAACATGTAATTGAGTCTCAACTTGAATACTTTCTCAGGTCGAAGACCATAAATACTTTACCATTGACACTTGGTAAATTGTATATTTTCGTTTCTTAAATTCAAGCATTCTTACATTCTTGTTTTAATGTTGAATTCAAACTAAAAAAATTTTAAGAAAAATATTCTTATGGTTTAATATTAATTTAGATTTTTTTTTTAAACTAGCATGTTATTTTTGTGACATGTAAAAGGGGGGACAAAACTAAACCAAACTAAACTTTTCAAATTCAAGCATCCTTTATTTTTTGTCTCTCAAATTCAAACATACTGAAGTTGGAGAAAAAAATATCAAACATAAATTATATTGGTTAATCCGGTCAGTTCCAATAAAAATACATCAAATTAGTACATAGTTTTATGTGTTTAGTAAA